CGTAGAGGAAAAATTATTTATTCTGAGTTTACAGGCTCAGTAAATTGTATTTCTGGTGGATTTCAACAGGAACATTCGCTTGGGAAAAACCAGAGTTGAAGGTTGGCTTGAGAAAAGCCAAGAATGGGGTGTTCAGTGCTCTGGGATGATCTCAGTTTAAGCATTTTCTATTCCCTTGTAATCTGGTTAAAATTTAAGAAAGCAGATAATAAAAGACTCGGGTGCTTATTGTAAATTAATGACTGAACTGAATGACTGAAGAATTTATTGAAAATAAATGATGGCACACACATCGAATGACTGGGATAGCAGTAAAAGCGGCTGAAATACTCATCTCATTACCAAACAGGTTCAGCTTTGGACATGTGGCCCTCAGTTTCTGGGTTTAACTTGGATTTTAGGAACTTTTTCTTCTCACAGAGAGGGGGCTCAGGCACTGGCACCAAGCCCCGGTGTCCGGAGGGATGTGGGATGTGGCACACACGGCAGGGCAGCAGGCTGGGCAGCGCGCTCCAGGGGAAATGGCCGGGCCCGCTGGTTTTGGGGGGGTTTCCCAACAGGGGCCATTCCGGGATGGACGGCGCGCGCGCGGCGGGAAACGGCGGCGCGCGGGGGGCAGGCCCCGCCCCGCTGTGGGCGTGGCCAGGGCGGGTGCTGAGTCACGCCGGGCCAGCAGAAGGGCGCCGGGACGCCCCGCGCCTTCGTGGGGGCGTGGCTTGGAGCGCGGCGGTATAAAAACGGCGCCGGCGGGTGGGTTCCCCTCACAGCGCGTCGGCGGCGGAGCGAAGCGGGTTCCTGCGTCAACAGTGCTTGGACGGAACCGGCCGCGCTCGGGCCCGCCGCCACCCCCCTTACACCGCCGTCTACACAGTCACTTCAACACCCACCGGAACAGCCATGGCAGCGCCCCCCTCTCAGGTGCGCCAGAACTACCATCAGGACTGCGAGGCCGCCGTCAACCGCCAGATCAACCTGGAGCTCTACGCGTCCTACGTGTACCTCAGCATGGTAAGGGTGCGGGCGCGGCGGGCTGAGGGAAGGGTCCTGCGAGGGATAAAGGGGCGACACGCGGGCTCTGCTCTGCGGGGGGTTCCTGGGTGCCGGGCGGTGCCTGCGCGCACAGCTCCTCCTCCTCCTCCTCTTCTCCACCTCCTCCTCCCCCCCGCTGCGTTCAGGCCCGTCTGGGCCGCCCCCTGGGTGTAGGTGAGGCGCTTTTATCTCGCCTGCTCCGCGGCCCCGCCGCCGTTGCCCTTGGCGGCTCTGTTATCAGCCGCGCTCAGCGCCTCTGCCCTTGGGGCCGGGCTGGGTAGCGGGAGGTGCTTAAAGAGGCTCCTGGCACCCTTCCCGCAGGCGTGCTCGCCTCCCAGGCTCGGGTTTTCCTCCAGGAATCGGTAGGAATCCATGGTTTCCTCGGGCCTTGTGTTTCCATGTCTCCTTCGGCCCAAGGCGCCCATTATAGCTGTTCCCTGACCTCTGTGCAGCAATCCTGCTGCTGTGGGCGTGCTGGGACATTGAGACTTATTAGGGACGACACTGTGCCGTGTTGTGCCACGTATTTTGTAGCTTTTTTTTCTGTGTTAATGTGGTTCTGAGCCCTGTTTAGAGCTTCTGTTGGTGGGCGATAGTGGTACACAGGCACCGGTGCTTTGCCTTGAACCTCCAGGCCGCTGGTCTAAGAGCAGAGAGTTCTGTAGTAGGTTGGTAAATAATTGGCAGTTTCTACAGAACTTTCCATTGAATCCTGGTAATGCCCAAGGAATAAACAAGCTGTGTCACGGCTTCTAGTTGCTGTTAGTATGGGTTTTTTTGCTTCCAGAAAAATAGCTTAATTCATATTTTAGTTGATGTTAAATTCATATTGTAGTTCAATTTCTCTTGTATTTTAAATGTCACTTTTTTTCCCCCACAAAAAAAGTAGAAAGTGTATTCCTTAGTCTAATACCTGGAAAGCCTAGTGAAGCAAGAGAACTTTATTGCAGGAGTACCTAAAAGTTCTTGGCTCGCCCTTACCTGATGTTGCAAGTCATGACCCTGACCTGCAATGTGGTCATTGTGAACAAGCTCAGGCAAACAAAGGGACGATTTCTCCGTGAAAAAGACTTTTCAAGGCTGCAGTTTAATGGTGCTCAGAACAGATATCTCCGGGGCTTCAGATTTTTTTGTTTTCGTGTTTTTGGAACTGAGCCAAGGACACAAACGCCCTTTATTTGTGTCCTTGGTAGGAGTACAGGTTAAAATTTAATCCTAGTTGCAAAAAATCAAATGCTACTGAGGGGAGAATTGTTCCACACTGCCTTTTTGGCCAGGGCTTGGAATGCAACCATTCTGAAGCAGAGGTTTAGAATCTGTGAACTCTTATTTTTCAGTCCTACTATTTTGACCGGGATGATGTGGCCCTGAAAAACTTTGCCAAGTACTTCCTGCATCAGTCCCACGAGGAGCGGGAGCACGCTGAGAAGCTCATGAAGCTGCAGAACCAGAGGGGCGGGCGCATCTTCCTGCAGGACGTCAAGGTGAGCTGGGGGCTCCTTCTGGGGCTTCTCTCTGGGTCTTCCCCAGAAGGAGCAGCAGCTGACACTGGAGAGGCACAGTAATTTGAGATGTGGAGCAATTTGATTATTTGTGCTGATTGACTAATTAAGAAGTACTTGTGTGTGGAGAGGGTGCTGAGCCCCAGGTTGTTTGCTGTATGGTGAGAGCAGAGCCAGAAGGCAGGCAACTGGTTCATGACCATCATTAAACTTAACACAGAGCAGATGTGTCCTGTGCACTGTTTTGAGAAGTGGGACTTTAATGGTTTGCTCAGTTCTGTTCTGAGGGTGCACTTCAAACTTTTGACTTTGCATAAATGCCTAAACTTGGTCTAAACAGAGAGTGACCTAAAGGCTCTCCACCCTGCTGGTCTGTGAGTTCTTACTGAAAACATGTCCTGTGCTTTCCCCTTTCAGAAGCCAGACCGTGATGACTGGGAGAATGGCCTGACTGCCATGGAGTGTGCCCTGCACCTGGAGAAGAACGTGAACCAATCACTGCTGGAGCTGCACAAACTGGCCACCGAGAAGAACGACCCCCATGTGAGTACATGCTGAGGATCAGCGTGGCTGTCCAAGGATGTGCCTGTTGTTTGTGTGGCTTTGGGGCTGAGCTGTGTGTGTCCCTGGTGTTGTTAAAGGTGAAAAAAGGTGTGAACCAGGGCTGCAGCCTTTCCAGAGCCCTTTGCTGGGGTTACTGCTGTCCTTGCAGCAGCATTTTTAAAGTGGCAGGGACCTGCTTTATTCCCTCTGGAGTGTCTGTGAACAGTCTCTATGGAGACCATTTCTGAGGGGGTTGAGCTCCATCTTTTTAAGGCTTTTTGTCACAAGGGCTTTCTTGCCACAAAATTCCAGAGTTGCTTTGGAATATTAAAAGCCCTGGTGTTTCAGAACAGTGTCTGAAAACACAGAATTCTTCTCAGATGGAAGTTTTTTGCAAGGCTGTATTGCAGTTGCTTAATAGCAGGAAGAGATTAATACATGTGAGAATCCAGGCACTCTAGACAGTGTCCTGCCTAAGTTGGAGGGACTGAGGATTAGTAAATCCTCACTGCTGTGGGTTTGCTGTGCAGTGGGGGTGTCTCAGGTCTGTTCAGGAGCTTGGCTAATGCTTCCTGCCATGAGGAAGAGGAGAGGCTTCCTGAGCTGCCTGGCTCTGCTGGGTTCTGGAGCAAATGAGCCTACCTAAGCCTGGCTCACTTTGATCTTGTTCTGCAACAAAACCTAGTGGCTGCTTCCTCTCAGCTTGAAAATTCTGCATCCTCCCCTTAGCATCAGTAGGGTTTCAGGCCTGAATTTAAACCTCTGGTCTCCCTTTCAGTTGTGTGACTTCATTGAGACCCATTACCTGGATGAGCAGGTGAAAGCCATCAAGGAGCTGGGTGACCACGTGACCAACCTGCGGAAGATGGGGGCCCCCAAATACGGCATGGCAGAGTATCTCTTCGACAAGCACACCCTCGGGGAGTGCCACAGCTGAAGCCCTGCCAGGAGCCATGCTCTGGGTTTCAGTGGGACTCCTACTTACTGTCCAGCCATGCATGCAGCTTCAGTTACTTAGCTAAACAGTTCCATACTCTGTACCAAATATCCCCTGTTCTGTTCGTGTTTTATGTACTGCCCTCCAGCCAATAAAGTGACTTGGTTCCAGCTGGCTTTTCCTGTTTAGTTTGGAGGGAGAGTAGGCAGCTGTAGTGAAGGCAGTGGGACGTAAATTTGTTGTGTGACATGGGGGATTTGCAGCTGCTGCTGAAGGCAGAAGTGGGAAAATCTCTGTGGTTTCTTTTAATTCCTTGCAGGGAGCTAAAATGAGGAAATGAAACCAAGGTCCTGGGCTTGAGCCTCACTTTTTATTTTCTGAGAGTGGGCAGTAAATATCAGCTGAGTGTTGTCTGCTGCCATCCAGCTTTTTCTGAGCACTGTCAAATTCCTGGTGGGATATGTGGAACTTCAGAAGGAAGCAATGTGCTGGGCAGATGCTGCAGCTGCCTGTGCTGGCAAGGCTTTACCTTGCCTTATCCCAGTACTGGAAAATACTTGCCAGACAGTACTGGAAGAAGCACTGTGGGTCTGCATCACAAGTGATGGGATTTTATTCAGTCCCTTACTTTTCCCTGGACTATCATGTTAGGAGTGCAAGTCCTGCCTGAGAAAGGACTCGAGCTCTCATTCTTGCTGTGAGGAGAAAAGTAGCCACATTAAGTGTGCTCCTGTTCTGGGGTACAGCTGGCTGGTCAGGCTGGCACCTGCAATATTTAGCACTCAAAGTCTTGTTCTTTTGCTACAGGTTGGGTTTTTTGGTGCTTTTGTTCTTGCAACATGAGTTGTGCCTGCTGCTGTAGCTGAGGCCAGGAGCAGCATGTCCTTAGTGCTGGTTTCAGCCCAGGCTGAGCTCCAGCTGCATGTCCAGCACCTCTGTGGGTGAGAGCCAGGATTAGGCAGGTATCCCATGGATCCATGGATTCCCCTTTAGCTGTACTGGTCCATCTGCTCCTCCCCTGGGCTTTCACTGGCCTCCAGGATCACCTCCATCAGCCCCACATAGTCACCCTCAGCTAGGGAGATTCCAGAGTCGTTGGGGGATGGACTCTCTGCTCTCCTGGGCTCTTTGGGTGCTGGAGGATTGGTGTTTCCATTCCCAGGGTCTCTCATGTTCCTGGAAACCTCTGGGTGCTGCTCTGGAGCACTGGCTGCATCTTCCAAACTCAGGCTGCGAGCCTCAGGGCCCAGGTTGTCCTTGTGGGACCTTTCCATCGCTGGAGAGGTGACGGGAGTGAAGGAGAAGCAGAGGGAGGTGCTGCCTCCAGGGGTTTTGTTGCTGGGGGTGTGAAAGGCACTGGAATGCTCCGAATTGGGAGTGGCTGAGGCTGTGCTCTCCAGGTTTAGCCAGGGTGGGCGTGAGGCTTTGGAGCTCTTCAGGCTTTTGAAGCTGCCGTGCTTCTCATGCTCAGGGGGCTCTGGCAGGAAGGGGAATTTGGGGCTATTGGATGCTGTGGACTGTGCTCCTGGACTTCCTGTAGTGGCGGCTTCCCTGGAGCTGCTCTTTCCTTCTTCTACTGTCACGGCCACAGAGTCAGGGCCTTTACTCCGCTCTGTTGGCCATACAAAGGTTTCCTTTGCAGCAGAGCCCAGGGAACTCTGACTCTTGTCCACATCGCTGGCCCTGGAAGGGGAGGCGTTGACAATGACATCCCGAAGGGAAGTGGAGCACGCGGCAATGCTGGAGAGCGCCGGTGGCTTCTTGCGCCCTGGGCGCCGGGAAGGGAAAATCATGGGGATGGAGCTGATGGGTGTCTGTGGAGCGCTGTAGAACCCAGGCCTCTCGTAGAAGGGCGTGGACATGAAAGCATCAAACTCCCTCAGTTTTCCCTCTTCGCTGTCCCACTGCTCCTGGGAGTCTCCCCTTGGCTGATTGATGCCACAAGGGCTTCCAGCCTTCCCCATGTCCTGGTAGGTATAATGGGAGAAGGGCGACGCGGGATCTCCTCGCCGGCGCAGCAGGTTCATCCGAGAAGAGGACCTGGAGAAGTTTGGGGACTGGACACCCAGGAGGCGGCCCAGGTGTCCCAGCAAGGGAGTGGAGTGGTTGGCCTCCTCGTTCTCTTTAATCTGCTCCAGGGGCTGGAACTCCATCTCTTCTTTCTGCATGCTGAGAAAGCAAAGTGGACTGTTCAGGAGCCACAGAGGGGAGGGGGGATCTCCTGGAGAGGCTGGCAGCACTGGGAATGCTGCTGCCAGTGGCAAGCCTCTCCCTGTATTGCCATTACCCCCCCCCCCAAAACAGGGGTGCTCATTATACAGGTGAGTGAGGAAAAGAGGTTAGATTTATCCTTTTCCACAGAGAATGTTTGCTGTTGTGGATGAGCCTAAAAGCTCCTCAAGTGTAATGTCCTACAGACTTGACCCAGGTGTTGTGACACTGTCCCTGCACTCACCTGATGTCAAAAGTGGAGCCCAGGAAGGACGGGCGCTTGTACTCAGCGGTGGCAGCAGTGTAGGGTGGCTGAGGGTCAGGCTCGTTCCAGTACAGGTCCTTCTCCAGAATGGGTAAATCCTGGTGCATCTCATCCACTGCCATGAGGGAGACCTGCGGGGGACAGCAGGAATGTCACACGGGGTGAGTGAGGAGCTTTTTGTGTGCCCCTTACCAAGGGACAAAGGAACACGGAACTGGAGGAAGCGGTGCAGCACGGAAACCAGGCAAGCGGCTGGGGTTGCTGTGGTTTCCTGTCATTTGGGTTGTTTCTCACACTGAGATTTGATTAATTGGAAGGAAAATGGTGCTGAAGGAAACAAGAAAGCAACAGACTCACTAGGACAGAAGGGTGGGGAGGTACATAGTTATTGCATGGCAGAAAGCAGAGCAGGCAGTTTCAGATGGACTCAGGGTAGGAAAGCAAGGAGGGGCAGGAATGATGTGTCATTCAAAGGCAGCTGAGGCCTGAAACAAGCAGCTTTGATCTATCTCATGTGCCAGAGCATGGACTGAAGCTGCAGGCAGCCTCTGTGTACAGACATGCCAGAAGCCCCAAATTCCCTGCTGTAGATTGGGAGGATCACTCCCATTGGAGGCAGAGGTGTTGCAGGAGAACTTGGTCACTGTCCTGCCTTGGTGCTCCTCTTCAGGTGAGGCTCAACTGGCAAATTTTCCCTTTACCTGCAGGTTCCTGTCAATGAGCCAGTTGGCTTCAAAGTCATCGTCGTCCTCCCCAAAAGGGTTGATGAGCTGCTCAGCCACCTGCATGTGGAGAGCACACAGCAAAGGTCACCATTGTCATCCCTGTCCCTTTCCCTGCAGGGAGAAGTCAGGTGTGATGTCCCTTGAATTCCAAGCCATGTTTTTCTTCCCAAAAGGGAGTGGGTTAAAAGTGGAAGCATTCTGGGGGCTGGGAGACATTAGAATTTGTAATAACTCCCCCCTGCTCACACAACCCTCCTGCAACTTAAGGAGCTCCTTTTTTCCCTCTAGTCAGGACCAAAACCTAGGAAAAGTGCAGCTGGTGTCCAGAATGAGACAGTTGGAAAATCAGAAAGTCCTGGCACTTCCTCAGCCCCTCTTGGCTTCCTGTTATTGCCCATAGATCAAAGAACACAGCGGGGTTCCTGGTGAGCTCACACTGGGAAAAACCCTTGGCTGGGTCAGATTCCAGCTCCAGCCGTGCTTTCTGGGACTTACCTTTAACCAGCCAGCATAGAAGAAGAATTGCAAAAATGTAAAGACGGGCACAAAGAGATCCAGCTCATGGCCAGGATATGCTTTCTCTGGATCCAGGAACTGCCTCCCAATCAGACAGGCCAGGAAGAAGCTGTAAACAGCCACGGTCACCACCTGGGAAGGATGCCAAGGGACACACCAGGGCAGCATGAGTGCCCAGCATCTCCCTTCAGTTCCACCCCACACAGCTCCAAGGCCAAGCTCTGTAGCCTCTGGGAAGCCTTGGATTCAGTTCTGACAGGCTTTTTGGAGGAGGATTCATTTCCCTACAGAAAGCTACAGACATTCCCTTTTCCCTGCAGCTCTTACCTACACTGTGTGCTGTCCCTGGAATGGTATCTGTGCAGGTGTCACAGGCCAGTGGCAGCAGCAAGCACGTGACATCCTGAGTGGGCTGGAAGCTGTCTCATGGCTCAGTCCGTGCTGGCAGGCTGCTTCCCAGTCCAGGAAGGGAACCCTGGCATTGCTATTTGCTCCTTCCTTCCTTTTCCTCATGCTGAACTTTTATTAATATTTGCCTGCCTGGATTTCAGGCAGTGCTGAGCTTTGTGCTTTCCATGTCACCACAGGACTGGAAACTTCCCCTTTTCAAGTTAAAAGTAACCAAGACTCTCACGTGGTCCCTTGATATAACTAGTGGGTTCAAAACAGGAATACACTTTACATGTTCCCCATTAACCTCTGGCAGTGCCAGAGCAGCAGCAACAGCTCCTGTTTCATGGTGAAGGGCATCCCTGTTATCTGAGCAGTTGGATTGTAGGAGACAAAGGAGCAAGGTGGTGCCAAAGTGTCTGCCTGGGCTGATAAACAGCTGAGTACACGGCTGGCACAACCTCCTGGGATCGTGCCCGGGATGTGATCCCTGCAAGGTGCTGCAGGGACTGTGTCTGTGTGTTTCTGTTTTCCGTGGGTCTCTGGGGGTTTGTTAGCCCTGGATAGAGGTTATTTCTGGAGAGGTGGATGTGTCTGAGTTAGGCAGAGGAGGTTGGGCTGGGTGTGTGCTGAGGGACCAATGGAGGAGAGATGATGTGTGCGGGTGGGGGTGAAGGATTCAAGAATAACCTGCATTTTTCATGGGTGGGTCAGCTATGAAGCACTTCTACAAAGATAGGCTGAGAGAGCTGGGGCTGTGCAGCCTACAGATGAAGTTCTGGGGAGGCTGTGGCCTTTCCAGTACCTTAAAGGAGCTTATGGAAAGGAAGGAGAGGGACTTTTTACACAGGTGGATAGTGACAGCGAAAGGAACAATGGTTTTAAACTGATAGAGGGCAGGTTTAGATTAGATAAGAGGAAGGAATTCTTTACTAAGAAGGTGTGAGTCCCTGGCATAGGTTTTCCAGAGAAGCTGTGGCTGCCCCAGCCCTGGAAGCGCCTAAGGCCAGGTTGGACAGGGCTTGGAGCAACCTGAGGTGGTGGAAGGTGTCCCAGGATGAGCTTTGTGGTCCCTTCCAACCCAAACCATTCCAGGTGTGGGTGTAAGTGGGGATGTGCAGGGGCAGTGGTGGAGCACTGTGGGAGTGGCTGTGGGGATTCTCTTCTCACCTGGGTGTAGACCAGGGGGATGCTGATCCAGTCGTATCCGTAGAGTTTCCCACACTGACTGCGCAAGGTGTTGAGCTCCTGCAACAGGGAAAAGGGAATGGCATGTCAGGATAACTTCCCATCTCCTTGCAGAGCCTCTCCAGCACCCCTGTCCTCCATTGCTCCAGCCCTTTCCTTTCTGCTTATACCTTCTCTGGAAGGGGGGCTCAGTCTCAGCCTTGGAGGAATTCCCTGCTGCCTGGGTGTCTCCCCCTAAGCCCAAGATCCCTCCTAGCTCACTTCACAGCAGAGTTTCTTCTCCCAAAATGAGCAGCCAACAGGTGAGGCCAAGAATGCCCTCAGGAGCATCCATTTCTCTCTCCTGTCTATAGATAAATATCCCAGAGGGAGGTTTCTCTCTCTCTCTGGGGAGATAAATCCTGCTCCAGGCAGCAGAAACCACATGACTTTCTCTGCACATGAATACCAAGAAGGATGAGCTGCTCCAGAGCCTTTTTCTGTGCAGCTGGGCAGGGATTGTTGCCAGGTCTTGCCTGTGGAGTATGGCCTGTTGCCCAAAACTATCTAAGAGTTTTTAATAGCAATGTTTTCTACAGGACCTCAGTTGTTGAGGATGTGTTTGACCTCCCCTAGACTTCAGATATCTTCTTCCTTGTGGCTTTCCATCTGGATCCTAGAAACCTCCACTGGCATTAGCTGTTCTGGAATGTGTCAAGGACTTGTTTCACAGGTGCCCCCTGTTCTCCAATTTCTCAAAGCCCTGCCTGTCCCCTCTGTCACTCACATTCAGGATGCCTTGGAGCAGCACGCTGTCCCGGATCCTCCCGTCATTCCTCGCCTTCACAGCCAGGTTGGAGAACCACACGCACGGAATCCAGAACTTGTTGTGGGGGGAATTCAAGCTCTCAAACTTCTTGTGCTCTTCTGGTGTCATGAGGCCTGGATGAGAAAGAGCAGCTGGGAGAGGGATGGACATAGAGGGCAGAAGGAACTGATCTGGTCTGGAATGAAAACATCGGAATTTCAGGTGGATGCCTTGGCTCTCCCTAAAAATCCCAGTAAAGACTCAGAATTTGGGGAAACATGCAGAAGGACAAGTCTCCCTGTTAAAACATTGAGTCATGGAGGTGAGATAATGGGATTTCACTTTGGATGTCTGCAGCACATCAGATAAGAGCCATCAGGGAGATAAAGCATTGCTGGAGATGCAGCTGCCTGGTGTCCATAGATACTTGTTGAGAATGGGATAATTTGTGTCCCTGAAGTGCCTTTTCTTTTTAGGAGGCTTAACAGTATCACATCTCTGTGGATTGCCAAGGGAACCCAGACAATGTGGACAGACTGGGAACTCTGCTGCACCTCGAGGAGCATTTCCCAAGAAGATGCAGTGTGCCCTGCAGTTAAGCTTGGAGACTTGGGGCTCAAATTCCCACCTGCCCTGAGGGAACACCACCACCCCATTTCCAAAGAACCTTTCCCAGGGCCCCCTGCCCCTGGAGGAGCAGCAAGGAGCAGTGCTGACCTGCCCTCACGACGTGCTCCATGCTGGGGAAGCGCTTGTAGACAGCAGTGCTGACAGAGCGCAGGATCAGCACGCTGACCAGGTTGCTGTAGCGCATCAGGGTGCGGCGCAGGAGCCTCCCATACTCGTCCTCCCCATCCACATTGCAGGACACCAGGTTCATGATCCGGTCTGGCCATGGGATGCTCTCGTACTGGGCCCACCAGCGGGACACCACCAGGGCCACATAGAAGCCTAGAGGGGAGCTGAGAGAGTCAGGCATCTGAAAAGGGCTTCTTCCTCCCACTCTGTCTGATCTCTTCTTTTGCTCACACAGGGAGGGGTGCAGCCATGTCTGGAGGGGAATTCAGTCCTCCATGCTCAAAGGAGGCTGGATTTCATACTTCCCTTCCAACCTAAACTGTTCTGATTCTATGAAGCAACCTTAAAGATCTCATTCCAACCCCCTACTCTGGACAGGGACATCTTCCACCAGACCAGGTTGCTCAGAGCTCCACCCAGCGTGGCCTTGAAAACTTCCAGGGGTGACGCAGCCACAGATTCCTTGGGCATATCTGGTGCCACTTGGAGCTTGTCCTCTTGTGCTGGGGAACACTCACAGATATGGGACTCTCCTCCCACTTGAGGAGTTTCACAAAGGCGGAGGGAGGGACCTGCTCTGCCAGCAGAGCTCTGCCGAACCAAGGAGAAGAAATGCTGTCCCATTCCCCTCCCTGCTGGACTCCAGTCAGCTCCTTACCCAGCACGAAGGACACGGGGATTAGCTCGGCGTAGCTGTTGCAGTACAGCGCCAGCTTCTCGAACATCAGCCTTTGGCTCTCGCTCAGGATCAGCCTAAAAGGGACAAACAGAAGCAGCTCTCCCTCTCCTTTCCCCCCTCCCCTTCCCTCCTGTGATCAGAGTCTGGCGAGTGCCTGCCCAGCAGCATCCCTGCCCCAATCCTGTGTTTCTCCCATGTCCTGCCCCAGGCCAGGCTGTGGGCGTGAAGTTGCTCACCTGTAGACAAGGCTGATGGTGAAGTAGAGCGAGATGAAGATGAGGAACTCGGAGTAGAGCAGTTTGTAGATGCTGCCCTTCCATTGGAGCAGGAGCTGGGAGAAGGTGCCCAGGCGGGCATCAGCCACGCGGTTGGTGTAGGTCACTGTCATCACAGCTCCTGTGCAGGCACACAACAAGCAGGGCTTGGAGCTTGAGCAGGAGGAGACACAGGGACATCCCACGTTTCCCACCAAGGAAGATGGAAAGGAAGGAGAAAACAGAATGAGCTGAGAGCAAAAGCCAGGTAAGATGTAGGCAGCAGCACAGAAAACCAGGAGGAAATTGACAGCAGGCAATTAATTTGATGGGTTTGCCATCTTTTCTCTGTCCTTGAGCTGGTTATAGTGACCAAGGATGTATTTTCTGGTGGATCCCTTTGTTTTTAGTGTTTGATTTTTGTCAGCATTCAAGTGGGGCTGGTTGGCTGAAGAGGCCAAAGCTCATGTGCCACCCCCTTCCACAGAACACTTGTGGTAAGATTAATCTCAGGGTCACAAACTGCAAAGTTTATGCTTAGCCCAGTAATTTTCTTAATATAGTTTTTATTCCAAATATGTTTCTGTAAACCTACTTGCTAGGAAGCATCTTCCTGAAATACTGCTGGGGAAAAAAAAACCCCAACCCAAAGGAAAGGGAAAAACCCCAGAAAAATTTCTTGGGACTGATCCAGAAGAAGGTATCCCAGCAAGGATAGCTATCTGTACTCTGCTGGTCCTAGTCATGTAGGCAGAGCAGCCTTCCCTGTTGGAGATCTGTGGGATGGAGTTCAGCCAGGCTCATAGGGCCCAAATTCCAGCAGCTCCACCTCCCCTCTCCTTCAACCATATGTTGCATAATAAATCACAGTGGCTGAAAAATAGGCATTCAGGCTCCTGAAGTGCTCCCCAGACATGCAGCATCCCCATTTCACTTCTAGTCTAACTTGCATAAATAATTCTTTATAATCAAGTGATAGTCAGGCTCATAGTTGCATAAACCTGAATTTATTTTAAAAACACCCCAACAAACAACAAGACACCAGTGATATCCATGCCAGGCAGATTGGGGAATGACTTCTTGGGTTAGAAATAATTATCCAGTGTGAACTATTGGTATTTCTGAGTCCTAACATGTCACCAGGCATTGCTATTTAACAGAGGTAATAATGTTAATGATTATGGGGCCTTGGGCTCTTCCCTGAATGATGGGGATGAAGAAGCACTTCAAGGGACAGGTCACACCCTGAAGCAGCTGCAGGCAGGTGAGTTTGGGCCCACGTTCCTCATTTGTTTCTCATTTAAGCATCCCAGTGAAAGATTTACATTTAGGTGGGGACAGCTCAGGTCCCAGTGAGCTGCAGCTGTGAAGAAAACCAGCAAAGTCTGGGTTTTTGGGCAACATCTTTGTCCTGGGTTTGGCTTTTTGGTGCTACTCCTCCTTTGGGTTTCCCTGTTGTAACTTAGGTCCCTGAGGCCCCTCTTAAGGGTGATACAGAGGAGCAGAGCTGTCCCTGTCCCCAGCTGCACAAATGCCCCTTTCAGTAAATCCTTGTGTCCATTCCATATGGATTTCTGGGTATAGGACTTGGAACAGTAGGTTATAACTGCCCCAGAAGTTGAACCCACAGGCTGCCCAGAAGAGAAAAGCATGCCCAAAACCCCATGTATTTTTGGGGCCCCTTACACAAAGCTGCATCTCTTCTCTGGGCTTTAGGGCTTAAAAGCACTCAGGGAGATTCTTCGTTGCGTAATTCAAATTCAGATTCCCTTTTTTACCAAAGAAGGAAAACTCCAGCTCTTGGCCATGTAAATAATGGATGTCGCCCACCTCTACTCTGTTCTGCTCCTGTGTGGTTTATGGGGCTTTTCCCAGTGCTTTTCCCTCCAGCCCTGGATGGGTAAGGCACCTCCCTGCCCACCTGCCAGCCTGTGCTGGGCTGCCCTGGGATGTCACTGGGCAGCTGGCACGTTCCATTAGTGGCTGAGGTCCGTGGGAGGTGGTGCACTGGCACACCGGAGTCAGGATGGGCTGGAAGAGCCCACCCAGGGAGCTGCTGCCTGCCACTGCCTGCATCCCCTGTTCATCCCTCTGGACTAACCAACACACCTGGAAGTCGACTGACCTGGAATTCAGTTGTGGGAGCCCACAGCAAGCAAGATTCTGGGACATCAGGTGCATCACCCACCACAAACAGATCCTAGCAGGTATTGCAGAGATGGACAACGAGCAGACAGAGCAGAGGGATGGAGCCAGAGGAGGTCATGGATAAGCAGGAAGATGGATCTCTGCAGGAAAGAGTAATCCTCCTGCTGTTGTTAGGAGGACCAGATACTCACAGTCATGGGCTCCTGAGCTGTGCTGGAGGCTGGGGAGGTTTGGTCCTGCACGTGTCCCCGCTGGGTCCTTTGTGGCCCGGGCCACCGCCTGCATCCTCGTGCCCCCTTGGCTCATAGGGGGATTGGACCTGCCCCACACGGTGTGCTAAGGAGCCTGAGACCCACTTGGGAGCTGCAGCCGGTCACTTGATGCCGTAATCCCTCCTCATTACAAAAGAGACTCTGTTGTCTTTTGCCCTGTTCCCTCCTAATCTTCTGAGTAAGCCCTGCGTGTTTATAGAGGCGGCCGGAGGAGGGGGAGGCAGGGCTGGCTGCTCCGCTGCTGCTAACTCCTGGCACAGCCATGGTGGCTGCCAGAAGAGAGGCATTTTTCCTCTAATTCTTTCCTGTTTGGTCCCTCTCTCCGTGTCACAATCTTACAGGAACCCCAGGAGATTATGCAGGGCTGGAATTTTCCACCAAGGCTGTAAAACATGGTGCACTTGGGGGCTGCCCTCTCTTCCCTAGCTCAGTGAAACACCTGGTCCATGCTCTGCCTGGCTCTCACAGGATGTTTCCATATCATCCCTCACTGTCCCTGGATGAGCTTGCCACCTCTTCTGGCTGTGGTTTGGATGATGGGGATTTCCACTCTGCCACTGGTTTTCTGAGACTCTTTCCATGTGTTCGCTTTCTTTTGCTGTTGCTTTTCCAGCAGTGCTTGAGAGCTGTCACTGTGCTTCCTTACATGACATCCTGGGAAACATTGGTCCTTGCCTTGCCCTCAAACTTCCACCAAGCCAGGGAACTCCTTCCCTCTTTCTTCCCAGGGTTCTTAGTCCCTTTTCTGCTCCTTCCCAATTGTGACTGTCCTTCCTTTCTACCACCTCCTCAGTGCTTCTGCTCAGGTTTTAAGGACATTCCCCTTCCATAAGGCTCTGAATCAAAATCTTTTCTTAATTAACTGGTCTTCCATCATTTAGGCAGCGGTGGGACACTGGAGAGAGAACACAGCTCTGATCCTTGCAGGTAAGAGCAGCTGGAGACCCAGGCTCCTGTAATAACCAACTCTCTCCTGTGCTTTGTCTTTGACACTTACTTAACATCAGTAGTTGGGATCAGTTTGTCCCAGCTGTAGTTTTCTCTTTCCTGTGTCTGATCCTTGACAAGGGGAGTGAGTTGTTTCACTGCTCCTCTGGAGCAGGTGCTGCCTGGCATCTGCCTGATGTGGGATTTCTGGTGCAGTCTGGGAATTGCTGCCAGTGGCAGGGAGAGCATGGTTTAAAACGTGGCATCAGTGCTCTGTGAAGGGACATGAGAGCAGGGGGACCCTCTCTGGAGGGAATATGGTCCATCCACTTCCAGGGCTGGAATTGCTGAACAGGCAGGCTGAGATAGATCTCGAGGGTCTTAGTGCCTGAACCCTCATCCCCACACACAGCAGGGAGACCAAAATGCTTCAGGTGAGACATTTGCTGCAGCTGTTGGGAGCAGTTTTGCTGCTCCTGGGGAGGTGGAACAACAACCCCTGAGTGTCCTGGTGTTTGTGGAGGGATGTGCTGGCATCTGGGGGCCTCTGCTGCCCTCCTCTGAGAGCAGCTCTGCTGGCAGCTCGTGTGCTCCACAGCTGCCCTTGGGACAGTAGAAAATATGTGTGGAATTTAATATTAAAGTAAATAACTGAGGGGCTACCAGCGTGGCAGAGCTGCTTGGATCTCTTTCCACATCTCCTGTGGCCTCAGACCCTGAGAAGGAGCATTGTCTGAAAGCCTGCCCTGCTCAGCAGAGCAGGAGGCAAAGAGGTGCTGACATCCATCCTCAGCCTCAGAGCCCTGGAATCATCCTTGTTTTCTCCATGCTAAAGATGTAGAGATTGAATTGCTGTGCTGGGAGTTGAATCCCTGCTTTGGGAATGCCAAAGGGCCTCTCTCAGTGCTGAGTTAGCAGCAGCTGGCTGGGAAAGGCACAGTGCCCTCCTTGCTCTCTCCCAGAGAACAGTGGGTGCTTTTAGGGACAGTGGGTCCCAAAGCTTGGTGAAATCCCTTTTCCTTCTCCAATTTCAGTGCTGGGATAGACACAGAGGCAGCTGGCATCAGAGGTGTCTCTGCAAACTACATTCTTCCTTGAAATCTGATGTAATTTTTTGAAAAAATGATCTGGGAAATGTCTAGGGAGATGCCGTTCTTCATGGACAGGATTTACTCAGAGGTTTGACTGGCCAGAAATGTTTGAAGAGGATGCAGTGACCCTGCAGTGCTTTTGTGAGGACCCCCAGGCTTGTTCCCCTCATGCTGCAGAATTCCTCACTAATTCTTGCTGCCCTGAGAGCTGAGGGTGCCTGTGCCAAGTTCCATCTGACCCTTTGCATTTTGCTTTTAGGGGCTTGCATGGTGACAAATCTCTCACTTTGCCTCTGATGTTGCACAGTTTAGTGCATATAGCATGAAAATGAGGGAAGGGTCCTTAGTGAGGTCCCTTGTCTCTTGCCTTAGGAATTGTGGTGGGGATTAGGTGCCAAAGGGAGAATCAAACATGCTGGTGCTGGAAACCAGAGACCCCAGAGGAGCCTTGCTGCAGCCCTTGCAGCCAGCTGAGCAAACATGTGGCACAGCCAAGGAGCCAGCCAGGAGGGGCTGGATGGAGCCTGGAGTTTCAGGCTATTTGTTCTCCTTTCCGTGGCAATACCATCTGGTTTGAGTTTGCTGGGTAAGGGGTGTCAGCAAGTCAGATTTTGCTTTCCAAACTCAAAGATAATGCCTGTTCTTCCTTCCCTTCCCAGCATCTGTCTGGCTTTTTCTTTTTCTTCCCCTTTCCTTCCCTGTCATTTCCCTTCCTTTTATTTCCACTTTCCCCTTTTTCCTTGTCTGCTTCTCTTCTGGGAAGAAGAAGGGAGCTACTCTCCCCCTTATGACAAGTTACTTTTTCAAGTGGCTGGGATTCAGCACATCCCTCTCAAAGCTTCCAGTCAGCACTATCAGCTCTCATCCTTCCTGCCTTTTTTGGTTCCTGGAAGCACTTCTACCTTTCTAATCCGAGGACCCTCTGTTGCTGCTGGCCAAGCCTTGGGAGTTAATAATTACAAAGACTAATTACATCTGGTGTACTTTGCAGAGCTGAAGATCTTTCCCCTCCTCCCAAAAGTTCTCTGAAGATAGCAAAGGTTGCAGCCAGAGACACAAACATCCCGGACACTCCGTTCCCAGACTTCAGAGCATGGGCTTGGCCTGTGCTGTCCCCACGGATCCCGGCCATGAGGCAGGGCAGGGCTGGAGGTGACACAGACACCCAGGAAATGCTGGGACAGAGGATTGCTCCCTGTGCGGTATCCACAGCAAAATCCTGCAGTGGACACCAGGATCACCATGTCTGACTCTCCTGCCTCTGGTGTTGGGTCTGTCCCAGAGGCAGAGGATGGACAAGCTGAGAGCAGGGAGGGAGCTGTTACTGTGTGTGAAGGCTCCAAAGGAGTACAGCTGCCTGGAGGGAAGCCCAGGGCAATGGCAAGGTAGGATGTGATGGGAAATGTCCTCTGAGGGCAGCAGCAGGTTTTGGTTCAAAATTCCAGTGCTGTCAATCCACAGGTGGCAACGGGATCCACTGTGGAACAGGGGTGACAGCAGAAGTGGTTTGCCTGTTGGGTTCTGAGCCCAGTGCTCCACTTGAAGTATAAAAACCCTGGACAACCAGCAGCCGATTTCCCCCCCAGTCAGATTTCCCCCATCCTTCCACCTTCCTGCGTTTACATCCCATGTTTCCCCTCTGTATTGGCTTTGTGTGGCACCGTTTTGGTAGCGAGGGGCTGTAGGGAAGCAGAGGTTCACCGGCAGCCTATGGAGAAGGCCACAATGGAGCGCAGGCATGCCCGAAGGAGGCTGTGGCCCCACAGGGAGCCTGTGCTGGAGCAGGGTCCTGGCAGGACATGTGGAGAGAGAGGAGCCCGCGCTGGAGCTGCCTATTCCTGACCCTGTGGAAGGGACCCACGCTAGGGCAGTGCATGAAGAGCTCCTTGGAGAAGGAGGACTTCTCACGTGGGAGGAACCCCACACTGGAGCAGGGGCGGAGTGTGAGGCATCCTCCTCTTGAGGAAGAAGGAGCAGCACAGACAGCAGCCCCCATTCCCCAGCCCGCTGTCGGGAAGGAGGCGGAGGAAGCCAGCCAGCGATTCCGAGCCGGGCACGAAGAGCGGAGCGTAGGGACGTTGGTCGGACATTTCCTTGCACGTCCTCCCGGCCCCGCGGTGAGTCCATGGGTGACAAACGCCGCTGGCTGCCGGCTCAGCCCGTCCCGCCCCTGCCCGCAGGGACCCCCCGGGCCGACGGCGCTCAGGGCGCAGCCGCGCCGCATCACGTGGGCGGCGGGGCCGCGGCTGCCCGGGATCGGCTCCGGAGCCTCCGGGAATCGGTCCCGTTCTGGCTCCTCCGAGCACGGATCCGCCGGAGCCTCCGGGTCTGATCCCTCCTGGCCCGGCTCCTCCGGGCACGAATCCGCCGGAGCCTCGGGTCCTGATCCCTCCTGGCTCGGCTGCGGCTCCTTCGGGCACGGATCCGCCGCGGCTCCGGGTCGGGTCCCTTCGGGCACAACTCCTGCTCCGGCTTCTCCGGGCACGGCTCCCGCTCCGGCTGCGGCTTCTCCGGGCGCGTCTCCGCTTCTGGCTCCGGCTTCTCCCCCGAGCTCCCGCTCCCGGTGCGGCTGCCCCGGCCATGGGGGCTGTGGCGGGCGCGCCTCCGCCGTGAGCAGCATCGGCAGCAGCGGGACCCAGCGATGTTGCGGGGGTAGGTGCGGGTCTGCACGGGGAAGGAGTGGCGTCCGTGTGCCGGGGCTCTGTGCCTCCGTAGAGTCCGGGAATGGTTTGTGTTGGAAGGGGGTCTTGAAGTTTATCTTCTCCTGCCGCGGGCAGGGACACCTTCCACTAGACCGGGTTGCTCCAAGCCTTGTCCAACGTGGCGTGGACACTTCCAGGGATGAGGTAGCCACGGCTTCTCTGGGAAATCGGTTCCATCACCCTCACAGGGAAGAAGTTATGTGGAAGCCAAGTAAGGAGATGGAATACGGAGGCAGCAGCATCCCCAGATACAGGACTTGACGTTTCATTGCTGAGGAGAAGACAAGAAACACCAACGTGTGTTCTGCTATAATATAATAACATAAAAATAGAATAAACCACTGCCAGATGCTCTGCCAAACATTTGAGGGATGATGCTGAGCCCACATGGGATGATGAGCTACTCTAGACTGATGCCGGTCCATGGTGGTGCAGGTCAGGTATCCATCCCAGTGGGGATGGAAAAGTCAGGCCCTGCTCCCAAACCTGGGGTAAGAGTTTAACCTGGAGAGAGCTGGAGGCTGCTTGCACAGGAAACAACCCCATCGGATCAGCACTGCAGGAAACATGTGGGGCCCGCTGGAAAAAGTGCAGATCCTGCACATTTTTTTGCTTTTTCTACAGAAACCAACTTTAGAGGGTTATGGGGTGTTGGGAAATTTTTTTGTGTGTGTGTGTAGATTTGCATTTCTTGTGTCAGTGCATGACTCTTAGGATATGATCCATTTTTCCTGGAAAGACAGCTACCAGTCAGCAAGAGAGGAAGTGTTTCTGGTGGTCCTTTGGTCTCTGGGATAGGATTTCAGAGCCCCGCCTGGACCCTGAGCAGAACCAGCATAGCCAAAGCTTCCATAGGGATTCTGTTTGCATGGTGTGGAGAAAGAATGAGCTATTCTGTTGTAGATGAGTTTCCAGGATATGTTTTTGGCATTACAGAGTGTGGGTGGGACTGTTTAATTCCTCCATATCCTCCAGTTTTCTTCCGTAGCGTGTGGAAATACGCTGAAATATCTGTCTCCTGAGGCAACTTTCAGCTGAGAATTAGAGAGTCATAAAGGAACACCATTATTTTTCCTTCCTGTGGGTTAGATTAAGTGTATTTTTATCAGTAGGCTGGTGAAATGTCCCTTTTCCTTGCTGCTTCTTTTATTTATTATTTTTATCCTCCATGCTCTAGTTTCCTTGCTCCTTTCTGGTGTGAGTTTTTCCCAGTGTTCAGAGTGTTCTCCATGTGTGCTTTTCCACATGCTTTCTTGTGATACCTGAGCTGATTCAGCTGGGAGCTGCAGCTTTGTTCCCTCTTTGGAAGGTGGCTGTGGACAGCTGTTGGTCTTGGACAGCTTGGGGGGCACAGAAAGGGAGAAATTAGAGTGGAAAAGGTGATAGAACACTCTGGTCTGAGGAGATAAGCTCAGCCTGTGTGGAGTCAGAGCAAGGGGAAAGAGCATGGCCTGGCTGTAATGCAGGAGAGGAGAACACAGAGATGGGGCAAAGAAAGGGACGAGGAAAAAGTGAGCCTGAGCAAAAAGAGGTGATGGCTGCTCTGCAGGAGGAGGTGGTGGGTGAGGAGCAGTGTCCAGGAGTGTGGGAGGAGGTGACGAAGAGAAGGGCACCAGAGCTCAGCCAGAGCTTGTGAGCCAGAGATAAGCAGCAGCAGGTTAATCTGCAGGGCAGTGTCTGTGTCTGGGCAGGGCAGGAAGCTTCCATGTGGGGAGGGCTTGGACACACTGCCCCTGCCTTCAAATGGAGGGAGATTCCATGGGCAGAGTTCAGTGAGGAAGAGGAGAAATGCAAACACTTCAGTGACAGCAGTGCCCTGCATGCACACCCTCAAATGATGTTTTCCATTCCTAAAACTTCTCCAGCCTCTGTGATAATTTGGGAGTTGACAGAGCCCTGCTGAGCACTGGGGTGCAGTGTCCTGGGTCACTCTTTTGGTTTCTTCTTTCTAGGGTGTTTCTGCTTACTCGCTACTGAAAATAAAAAATAGGGCTTCGACTCAGCTTGGGGAAAATACACTGGTTTAGACAGCTCTGTGGGGCATTTTGGTGGGAAATAGGTGGGAAAATAGGTTAAAATTTAGTTAAAAATAGATATTTTCCTTCTGAAGCAGATGCAGGGGGTAGAGGAAGGCTGGATTGGCAGCAGAGGGGATTGGGCTCTTTATATTAAGAATGGGAAGGCTGTATTGCCTTTTTTTTTTTGCTTCCCTACTTCAGTAGGGAAGTCTGACCTTAGGTCTGCTGGGTGTATCCTGGAATCCTAAAAATCTATCTGCAGGGTGTTTTTCTTGGACAGCAGGTGAGAATGGGATCTCTGGAGGAGCTATCCTTCGTTCTCCTGGTTATTATCCTGAGTTAATAAGGACACCCTGCCAGAAGGGTAAAGCACTTCCATAGGGTTGCAGGGCAGAGGAACAGGTGCAGCTGTTGCTGCCCAAATTCTTCCCTATCACCCTCCCTGCCTCATTCCCACTGCCTGTGCCCGGGACTGGATGTGTTGTGAGTGTTGGAGGAAGGTTCTGGATCACCCCTATGCTCATTTTCCCTGTGCTGTTACCCCCAGCCAGGTCAGTTTGGAGGAAGAGAGCCAGAATCCACCTGCTGTGGGACACTGGAAGCCCCTGATGCCATCCAAAGGTGACAAGGAGGAGCCAGAGGGTGGATGCCAGGATGCTGGAGGTGTGCATGAAGCCCAGTCCACGGAGCAGCTCAACGTGTCCCGGCTGCGCAGCTCCTCGGTGGAGATCCGGGAAAAGGGCTCGGAGTTCCTGAGGGATGAGCTGCACAAAGCACAGAAGGTGAGCCCCAGGGCTTTGGGGAACTCCTGGGGAGGGTGGCACAGGTTGGAGCAGAGGGGACTTTCCTGGAGGTGGTGACAGGAATCTTGGGTCATAGATCAGGTGCTGGGGTGGGGAAGAAGGGCTGTGATTGACAGGCTGGGGCAGGACATCAGCATTCCTATCCCTCTCCATTTCCTCAACAGGAGCTGAAGCTCAAGGACAAAGAATGTGAGAGATTGTCAAAAGTCAGGGAACAGCTGGAGCAGGAACTGGAGGAGTTAACAGCCAGCCTGTTTGAGGTACCACCCTCTTCCTTTCCCAACATTTCTTAAGCTAAGCTTGCATCCAGCTCCTTTAAGACAGGCTTTCCCTGGACTTCCAGCTCTCCTCTCACAATTTCCTCCTCTCCCTTGTTGTTCTTTCCCATTTGGAGAAGCAGAGCTGGCCAGTGGTGCAGGTAGAGCCTTTACCTGGATTTCCTTCTCCTTCTAGGAGCTGTGGGGTAGCATAAAGAGCACAGTAGTTATGGTTCCAAAATGTGGAGCTGGAGCCAAGCACAGCTCCCTGTCCTTCTCCATGCTTGTTCTGCAGTCTGGGCAGCTCCTCTGTAATAGAGATGATTCCCTGGTTCATCCCAGCCCTTGCTGCGGGTGGGAACATCCTGGATGTCCTCATCCACTCTGCTCCAGTGAGGGTCCAGAAGGCTTGCTGGTTTTTGGTTTTGTTTTGGTGGTTTTTTGTTGTAATGGGATTCTTGCCAAGCTGTATTCTGGCAAAATCCTGTTCACCAGCAGCTCTAATGTCTGGATCTGTCTCGATAATGAGGAAAGCCAGAGCCCATCTGTACCTTTTGAAATGCAGGGCTGTGAGAGCCAAGGAAGCACTCCCTCCCAAAATTTTGGCTGCCTGAGCACAGGGTGATCTTGGAGATCATGTAGCCAAGGGCTGTCCCCTTCCTTTGGTGGCCTTGGCCAGATGCAGTTTCCAGACTGCAGGGAGGCCCCAGCTGGGCTGCATCCTGCTCCCCTCTTCCTGTGGGCAAAGCTTCTAAGCCAGTTTGCACCATTTGGCCCCCACGTGAGCTCCAGCTCCTGCTGTGTCACAGCCATGCCTGGGGCAGTGGGACCAGCTGCTCCAAAAGGAGAGTAGGAGTAAATGCAATAACAAGGCAGGCAGGAGCAGTGCCCTCACCAACACTGAGCAATGAGTGTGGATCGGGATCAGAGCCACAGGCAGCAGTGAGGGTCAGGAGCCAGTGCAGGGATCACCAGCAAGGCTGCAGTGACTGCAGGAACCAGGCTGAGGCGAGGCTGGAGTCACAGCTCTTGGGATAGGGGCAGGCACAGCTGTGGTGGGGAACAGGGGGTTGTAATGTCAAAGCAATTCCCAAGGGCAAGGGAAGGCAGGTCCTTGCTTCTGGCATTCTCAGCAGCCCCTATCAGTGTGAGATGACCTTGGCCAGCTAAACTCCTTAACTTAGCCAGCTCCACTCCTGGAAAGGGGATGCACTCCAGGCTCTGGCACTGGGAGCCTTCTCTGGGAAATTCTGAGGGAAGGCTCTGCACAGCTGAAGGAACAAACCCCCTGGATGTGGCAGGGATGTCTGTCCCCTTGCCTGGAACATGTGATGTGGCAAACCTGGGACCTGCCTTGTTGGCTGTGTGAGCTGGGGTGTGGCAGGTGGATTAAAACTCTCTCTGGTGCAGGAAGCCCACAAGATGGTGAGAGAAGCCAACACCAAACAGGCTGCAGCAGAGAAACAGCTCAGGGAGGCCCGGGGCAAGGTGAGTGACTCTCTGTGACTTCATTTTTGGGGTTGGTGTGGTGGCATCTCTGCCCAGCCTGGCCACAGGGCTGTTTGTTGGCTGAGCAGAGTGAAGTGCAGCTTCATCTCTGTGAGGTGCTGTGGTCCCTTTCTGGCAGACACTTGAGTGAGTGGGAAAAGGCCTCACAGACGTCCTTGCATTGCAGTCTCCTGCTGGTCCTGCTCTCTCTAGGGAAATGGATCCACAGAGAAATAATGAGTTCAATTGTTACAGCCCTGGGATGGAAGGATAGAGCAGGAACCTGGGGAGTTGGAATTTCCTGACATGGCTGCACCACAGGGCTGCTCAAATGGCTCCATCTTGAGGAGAGAGAAATTTCTTTGGAATCATTAGTTCTGAAAAGAGCCTGGGACAGAAGGGGTAGATTCCCAAACAGCTACTGTTTAAAATTCTGGATGATGGTGGCACTGGGAGGATGGGAAGAGGCTTTGTGGCTGAGCTTTTAGCTGCTTCCCGGTGGCTTCAGTGTTTGATGGGATGCAGCAAACTGGAGCCCAGCAGGTGCCAAGGGTGACTCTTGCTTGTGTCCCCAGATTGACATGCTGCAGGCAGAGGTGACAGCCCTGAAGACGCTGGTGATCACATCCACACCGTCCTCCCCGAACCGGGAGCTGCACCCTCAGCTGCAGAGCCCTTCCAAAGGTGGCTTCAGGAAGGGCCATGGGAGGAACAAGAGCACCAGCAGTGCCATGGTGTCAGCTGCCAGCCAGAACGTGGCTCCAGAGCCTGTCAGCAGGGAGTGCAGAGAGGTGGGTGTGGGACATCCAGCCAGGAGTGCAAAGAGGTGGGTGTGGGACATCCAGCCAGGAGTGCAGAGAGGTGGATGTGGGACATCCAGCCAGGAGCGCAGAGAGGTGGGTGTGGGACATCCAGCCAGGAGTGCAGAGAGGTGGGTGTGGGACATCCAGCCGGGAGTGCAAAGAAGGTGGGTCAGGGACATCCTGAGCATCCAGAGCTGGCTTCAGGAAGGGCCACAGGTGGAACAAGAGCACCAGCAGTGCCACGGTGACATCTGCCAGCCAGAATGTGGCTCCAGAGCCTGTCAGCCCGGAATGCAGAAAGGCGGGTCGGGGACATCACCTGTGTTGACCTCGGAACCACTGCTCTGGGAGCTCTGGGCTTCCCACAGAGCTCTGTGGTCTCACTGAGCAGCTGTTTGTGCCCTGTTCCCTAAATTTGTGCTGAGGCAGGCACTGGAGGGCTTCCTTTTGTGGGGGTTTCCTCTTTGTCGGGACAGGAAGCAGTCGAGGGATCGCTGAGGGGCAGATCCAGGGGGTGTCAGTGCTGTGAGCAGATGTGGAGAGCTGCTGAGCAGAAGCTGGTTCCACTAGCCAGATGTGGACACAGCTGTCCTGTGGGAAGCAAATAGGAAGCACTTGGTCAGGAAAAATGAAACTGAAGAAAAATGTGCTGCAGGAATGTCTCACTAGTGATTTTTTGGGAACTACGGACCTGTGTTGTGAAGAATTGTTGAGGGAACACAAAGGCTTGTTAAAGATTTGGATCTGTCATTTCTTTATGGAGGCAACTTCCACAGGGTGCAGATCTCCTGTGGTTTCAAATCTCAGGGCTCAGCCTCCAGAGTTCCCAGTGTTATATATCAAGGATGGGATGGTTTTTTGTCCTTCAGAATCCTTATGGGAGAAGTGATAAAAGGGAACCTGGCATTCAGAGAGTTGGTGATCTATGGGAAAGATCTTAAATTGGGCTGAAAAATGGTAATTTCTGTTCCCTTTCTGCACCTCAAGCTGAAGTCTAAAGATGTGGCCTGTGGCCCTGTGGTGCCTTGAGGACCATGCTCAGTTCCTGCAGGGCAGGACTTGAGCCTTTCTCTGTATCTCATGTTTTTACCTCCCTCTTTGCCTGTCTCTCTAAACCTCTTCCTTCACTGTCTGTCTCTTCCTCTGCCCTCCAAGTCTGGTTTCCCTGCTCTCCTCTCCCTGCTCCTTTGCATCCTCCCTGGGAAGGCTATCCACATCACCTATGAGCCAGGCTGGCAGGCCTTGGGAGCAGATGCTTCCTCCTTCTCTTCCTCACGGCAGGTAACCAACCTTTGGGAATGGGTGGGACCCACCTGCCTCTCACGCTTCCAGCCTTTCAGTTCCAGCTTCCTTTTATGCTAATCTCCATTTTTTTTTTCCTTTCATTTTGCTCTTTCTCCATGTTTTTTCCATGTTGTGGCTCTGAAGCTGTTGCTGGTCCCAGGTGAGCAGTCTCCATGGCACAGAGGGGATGTGCTGGAATCTGGACTTTTCCACCTGCATTCACTCATGTTCTTTGTGTTGCTCAGCTTAGTTTCATTTTTTCCTTTCAGAAGCTTTTGTTGGGCTTGTAGGAGCTGCTCTCTCAGTCAGGTTGCTGCTTTGCCCAGTGATCCATCTGGGATTTAAATGCCAGATCCCACAGTCTCCTCTTGCCCCTCATCATTCCTGGCACGGGTTGAGTGTGCACTTTGTCTATTCAGTGGTTGTGTGGTGGCTTTCCTGCAGCCACTGGAAGGAGGAAAAGCCACCTGGAGGAAAATGGAATAGAGAGATGCCTGCAGGCTTCTGTCACACACAGCCCAGGGTGGCTGTGTCACTCTGGCACAGAACTGCTGCTGGGTGGGACATGAGAGATCCTTGGAGCCAGGCAGCTCCCCTCAGATACTTCCATGATGTCTGAGCCTCTCCAGCTGCAGAGCAGATGTTTCATGGTTTTCCTGCATAGTATCAGGTACTTTCTGACAAGGTATTCTCTTCCTGCTCCTCTTGGACATTTGCTGCAGGTCGACTCCATTTTATTTGCCGAGTTCCAGGCCTGGAAGGAATCTCCAACTCTGGACAAATCCTGCTCCTTCCTGGACAGAATTTACCGAGAAGATGTAGGACCTTGTCTGGACTTCACCAAGCAGGAGGTGAGTGCTGGAGAAGCAGGAGCAGCTGGCAGCTCTGGAGTGTTCCCTTCCTGGAATTCATTCCTGCTCTCCTTTGTTCTGCTGCAGCTGTCGGAGCTGGTGCGAGTGGCAGTGGAGCAGAACACCCTCACCATCGAGCCCGTGGCTTTCCAGGCTGTCCCTGTGGGGAAGGTGGCAGCAGAAGAGTGTGGTGGCCCCAAGTAAGGACCATGTCTCCCTGCCTTGTCCCCTCCTTGCTGCTGGTTTGTCCCCTGTCATGGAGTGGTGTGACAGGCAGCTTGGGGCCATCTCTCACTAGCAGGAGTGATGTGATATTCCAAACAGAGGAGGGATTTTATTCAGATATTAAATTGAAGTCCTTTCTTACCTTCTGAGGTGTCCCTGTGACAGAAGGGACATGCAGGTTTCCTACCACTTTTCCTGCAAATTATTCCCCAAACAACCCATCCTGTGTTTATCAGTTTCCTTTTGATTTTTTAAATTTATTTTTTGTCTTCACAGTGGCTTCCGGTCACAAATCGTAACATAAGTGAAATATTTATTGTTCAGCCAGTGATCAAAGGTCTCTGGAGCATTAACAAGTCACTAACTCAGCACCATGTGACAACTTGGAGGTTTTTGCTGAGCTGACCTAACTCTTTAACTCTGTCTCAATTCCACCCAGGCAGGAAGGGAAGGAGCCCATTGGCAATAAAAGACCCAAAAGGAATTTGTTCCCTTTTTCCCCAGATGCAAAACACTGATTTTTATGGCTATTTTGGTTTGTTTGATTGTGATAGCTGTGGTTTTACACCAAGTGGTACCATTTAAGCAAGAGTCACTCTTTTCCAGGATGTTGCAATGCTCAAATATGTGGCTCCTTACAGGTATCTTGTTTACAAAGTTTTTGGTCACCCTGCACCTTTTGAGAATTCAGTCTCCTTAGGCTGTGTTAATATTTGGTAAATGATTACTTCTCCTTGCATCTGGACACTTGGAACCCGTGCTTCCACTCTTGGCTAATGTTTGCCTTGAGAGCAGTGGAAAACAAGCCCAGGGACAAGCTCAGGAGCTCTCTGAAACATCTGCTCCCCTCTGCTGTCACCTCCTGTGGCTCCCTAGAGAAGGTTTTTTGCAGTTTGGGAGTGATGTTCCTCTTCCTACTGAGTCCCTGAAGAACAGGGTGATAACTGTGCACTTGTAAATTCTGCTTTATTGCTTTAAGTGATGATGGGAATCATCTGCCTTGCAAATAGCAGGAGAAAAGGGAAGAAAATAAAGGAATGCTGCACCCCTTGCAGATTATTGTATGGAAAAGGCTGTTTTCACCCTCTGAAATCTCAAAATTGGGAAGCCAAGCTCCTTTCCTGTCTGCCCAAGGAGAGGTTGGCTTGTTTTGAGTTCTTGGTATGTGAGAATCCTGCTCAAATGCTGGATTTACCTGTTTTGAGGGCAGCTCTGGTGCCCAGCCAGTGTGTTTACATCTCACCAGGAAAGCTGATACTCCTGAGCCTGCCCTGGAATGTGGGGGACATGTGCAGAGACCAGGGGACATTGAGGCTCTGCTCCAGCCTCACTTCTTTAATATTTCCTGTGGTTTCCTCTGGGGCTCTGTGTCAAGGAAAAGATGCTTTCATCTAAAATCTCCTAAACTTGCAATTTATGGAATATTTCCAGGAGCAAAAGAATATCAGCCAAGGAGGTTTTTTTTTCCCTTCTTCATGCTGCCTGACACAGGAGTGGCTTCTGATCTCTCACTTCCATCTCTCCAGGTGGTTGAATTGCTGGATCTGTGCTGTGCCACTGGATTGCTGAAGTGCTGTTCCCTTTTCCTGCAGGAAATGTGCTCTGAGCGGCCTCCCCAGGACCTGCAAGCACCGGATCATGCTGGGGGATTCTGGGAATTACTACTACATTTCCCCTTCCTGCAGGGCCAGGGTGAGTCCTTCTCAGGGTGCCTTGACCTTCCAACATCATTCAGTGCCCTGCAGTGGGTGAGTTCCTGAGGGTCAGCTCTGGAATTGAGGAAAAACTGTGGGATTGAGGTTGTTCCCGAGGTTGAGGTAGCTCTTAGTTGGTGGTTAGGGGGCAGATCCAGCTCTTCCTTCTGCTTACAGATAACCTTCAGTGTGTTCACTTGGCATGATTTCATTCAGTACAGAGCTTTGATTGTTTGGTTCTATTGTTATTATTTAATTCCCCTTTGCAAAACACAATGATTTTCTGCTCTTTGGAGGCTGTTACTGTTCCAGTCCAGATCTGTGCCTGGCTATGGGAACAAACTGTCCTTTCTGTGGAGGGGAGGGAGAAGGTGGATCATTTGTTAATGTTGCTGTTGGGGTTCTTGTTCAGAGGAGGATTTTACAAGTTAATTCTTTCCTGAGCTGCCTTTCTGAAGAGCTGATCTCACAAAAAGTTGCTTGTTGTGTACGAGTTTGACTTATTTGCATCACTTACACCAAAGTAATGTCTCAAATCTTTGTTCCTTTATTTTTTCCCCTCTTTCTCTCTGTCACCCAGATCACAGCAGTGTGCAACTTCTTCACCTACATCCGCTATATCCAGCAAGGCCTGGTGAGGCAGGATGGTAAGAGCTGGCTCCAGGGGGATGCTTTCTGTGGAGGCAACTGGGAGGAATTGGGAGGAGCTGTTTGGAGTGACAGGAGTGGGCTTGGCTGGGGGTGTCTTGGAGAAGCAGATAAATGACAAAAGAGAGGCATGAGGGGACCATCTCTTCCTTCCTTATCAGCTTCCTGGGAGCTTTGCTCAGGGTGGAGCTGGTAAGGGGTGACCTGATGGGCCTGTCCTGCTTCCCTCCCCTCTGGGAATGCTGGGAGCACAGCAGAGTAGGAGCTGGTGGCAGCTGTGCCCTCCTTACTGATTTTTTGGTGGTTTTTCCCCCTTCTCTGCCCCCATTTGCTTTGCAGTGGAGTTGATGTACTGGGAGGTCATGCGGCTCCGCAGGGAGATGTCTCTGGCCAAACTTGGATTTTATCCCAGCGAGATGTGAGCAGTGCCCTGAGCCTGGAGGAAACTGCTCCTGGAGGAAGGGCTTGGAGTGCAGTGCCTGTCCTGCTCCCTCCCACCTTCCCTCTGCCTGGAGCAAGGAGCAAGAGGCACAAGTTCTACCTTCAGCTGTCCCACTCCTCCAAGTGTGACTGGAATGCAGCTGCCATGCTGCCTCTGGAGCTGGGCTGGCCCTGGCTGCTCCAGGATGGCCATCCATGGACTCTGGAGTCTCCTATATGCAGTGTATATCCATTTTTTTTAAATCTTTTGTTTTTATATGCAGCCTGCTTTGGCATAACCCGAGGCCAGGCCTGTGCAGGGTGGGAATTCTGGACCTTCCTTGTGAGCCACTCTGTCAGGACAGATGCTGGCTGTCTGTTCCACTCGTTTTTTTTGGGATGGAGGAGGTGCTGTCCCTGAGGTCCTGCTGACCACAGCAGCCCTGAAAATGCCAGCAGAGCACAATAATCTTGAACAGTTTGTTTCCAAGTACTTCCTTGTTCCTTTTCAAGGAGCCTGCAAGAGAAGCTTGTTGCCAGCGGAGTCACAAAGAGGGATTTGTTCCTGTTTTTAGCTGGATGTTTGGCACTGGGTTATGCAGGCTGGGGAATTGCTGGAGCTGTGCACCTGGGGCCTCCAGCAGAAGAAAGGGAGCAGGGAAAATTCCTAACTCCCAGCAGGCTGCAGGATTTTTTCCCCTGGACTAGGGAATCTGCTGGAGTTGTCTGAGGCCGGACCCTGTGGCCGTTCCTGATGTGAAGTCCCCCATGGTGCTCCTAAACACAAACATCACCCACAAACAAGTCTTGGAGCTGTTCCTGCTCTTGGGGGAGCTTTGGGCAGTCCTGTTCCCACTCTTCAGGCAGAACCCCTGCCCCAGGTTGGGTTCTCCAGGAGGGGTGTGCCCAGGCTGGGCAGTCCCAAAGCCCAGAGATTCCTTCCCAGTGTTATATCAGAGCTGAAGATGCCTGTCCACTGGGAATCATGACACTTTCTTGGCTGCCATCCCTGGTGAGGGAATCCGAGACCTCTTTGTGTGCCCATGAGGAATGTGGCTGAGGTTCCTGCCTGCCCCAAAATGTGCTGGGAGGGGAGGGATGTCACTGGAGCTGTAGAAATGCACAGGCCTGACACATCCTGAGCCCAGACCCAGGTTTATTAAAGCCATGACAGTATTTTGTAGCTAATTTAGCCTTTTTTTCAGTGACTCTGGAATCAGCTCAGCCATCACCCACTCTGGGGTTTCCACTTCTGACAGGGTTGTCACCCTGTTCCTCTGTCACCCTCAGCAAGCTGGTGGCCATCCTCAGCTCCATAATTCCATTCTCTCCTGAAGGATATTACAGTAGGAACTCTATTTTCTTCCACTGAGCTGCTGGATTTTGTCTAGGGAAGAGAGAAATAACGCAGCTTTTGTTTCCCCAGCTGTGGATTTCAGCTCAGGTGAATTCCACCCCTGGAATTTCTCCCTGCATCTCTTCCCCCATCCTTTCTATCTCTCTATGTCTTCCTGTGCCGTGAGCTGCTACACTGCACGAACATTGCAGCACTGGGAATGAGATGATCTCTCTGGCTAGGAGATGTTTTGGTTTGTGGGATATTTTTTCCCCCTTGGTGTCACGTTGAAAAGCACTTTGAGACCAAAGGAACTGGAGCAATGCCTTGTCTGAGGTTGTCTTGCATTTCAAACAAAGCAGAGAACAATTTGTGAAGGAAAATGAAGTCACTCCGTTAGCAGCGGGATGGTTGCACCCTGCTCTTTCATAAAGGAAAATAAACATTTGCTATTAACCTCTACAAGCCTGGTTGGAGTTGGAGGGTTGGGGTGCTTGGGGTTCAAGAGAAAATACTACAGGATGGCGTTTGGGGTGCTTTTATTCATCAGAGCAGGTACCTGTTCTTCCTGAGGGAAGCTGAGGCTTCTCCTGCTCAGTTGTGTCTCCTTTAATTTGCTGGCTGGAAGCACTGCATGGGTGCTGGGTAATTGGGGGATCTTCTTCCTTCCTCTTTCCTCATCAGTCTCCCCCTTCTCCTTTCAGCAGGCAGAGGGTTGGGGTCGCTCTGGTTTCACTAAAACCTTTTGCTCTCCTTCCTGCTCGTTTCTGCACATTACCATGGAAGATCTCATCCGCTCTGGGAGGTGACAGTGGGAGAGCTGTATGCTGAAAGGGATTTAATTTCATTTTCAATTAAAAAGCCATGCAAGGATCTGGTTGTGCAGCACAGTCAGGCAGCCACGAGAGGGCACAGGCAGCCCAGGCAGGGACTGTCCTCCCTCCCTCCCTCATTCCCTCCCTGGGAGAATGGAGCATCTCCAGGTCCCACCCCCTCCTGACCCTCTCTGCAGCCTCTTGACAGGAAAACATTCCTGCAGCTGCCCTGCGCTGCTGGGAAAGGGAATTGGGCAGCTGGAGAGTAAAAAGGAAAGGAAGGATTTGGATTTCTGTAAGGGATGGTCAGGCGAGACACTGGAAATGCTTTCCTGTGTCTGGGTCTTTGGGTGCAATGTCAGCAGGGATTGTGTCAGAAACTTCCCTGTGACATTGGCTCCTAAGCTTCTAAGGTATGAGAATTCATCATGTCCCCTATTCCCAGCCTTTTCCACCAAAACTTTCCTGCTCTTTTTCCCCTCATAAATAAACCAGGGTTTGAGCAGAGTCTCTGGGTGCTCTGGTACCTCCTGCAATCTTCCTTGCACCTATTTTCCCCCACAAAGGGTCTGCCAGAGTGTCCTGGGCTGAAATAAACAGCTTCAAAAGGATGGGAGTTCAAAAATCTGTTTTTACAGATGTGTTTGACTTGCTTGATTTTGTTTTCATCCGTTTCCCTCAAGTTTGGGAGAGAAAAGGGATATTTGGATGATGGTGGAGGTTAGTGCTGTGCACAATGAGGTGCTTCTAAGCATTTGTGGATTTGAGAAACTGGGATTTAGACCAGAGAGATTTGGTTGCTCCTGGCAGCTCCCTGTGTCTGCTGGCTGTTTCCTTTCCCTGCCTGTGGAATTACTCCAGCTTTGGTCAGGGCTGTAAATCAGGCTGTCTTTGTGCAGCTGGTCAGGCTGTCCCCACACACCCACACACAGAGATGGATGGTTCCTGTTCCCAGGAACCAACAAATGAAACAGTTCAATTTTTTTATTATTATTTGCTCCAGGTGCAATCAAAGACAAGACAGAAGATAAGCAGCTGGCCTCAGAAAAGTCAGGACTTTCCATGCTTTCCTCAGCTTCCTGTAGGATGAGTCCATCAAAGCAGAGAGGATTCCCTGCAGAACAGGCAGCACTGGGCCAGCCACAGGGAAATTCCAGTCATTTTGGACGTTCAGGGAGTGTGGCCCTGCCAGGGGAGTCAGATGTCCTGGCACAACTCTCAGTGTGCACGTGGCACCCGTGGCTGGGGCTGGCCAGCTCTGCCAAGGCAACCTGTTCCTAATAGGAGCAAATCCCTCTGGTGCCACCGGTGCTGGGAGCCAAGGGGTCAGATTTGCTGTTTGTCATGTCAATATTCCCATGTTTGTGCAAGGCTCACTGGGCTGAGCTGGAAAGTTGACTTCAGCCAGGCTGAGAAGGCAGCTGGACTTTGTGCTGGTTTATATAACTTCCAGAGAATGTTTCACCTCCTTTGGGAGTGGATTAGGATGGAAAGGGAACATAGAGAAAATGTCTAGTTGTGGGCTGGATGTGAGGGGAAGAAGGGAAAATGGCTTTGGAATGGCTTTAAGATGAAGGAGGGTAGATTTGGGTGAGATATAGGGAGAAATCCCTGCAAGGCCCTGGCACAGGGTGCCCAGAGAAGTTGTGGCTGCCCCTGGATCCCTGGAAGTGTCCAAAGCCAGGTTGGATGGGGCTTGGAGCAGCCTGGGACAGCGGAAGGTGTCCCTGCCCATGGCAGGGGTTTGGAATGAGATGGGCTTTGAGATCCCTCCCAACCCAAACCATCCTGGGATTCTGTGATAAATCTGAGCTGCCAGTGGTGTCCTGGCTCAGGAGATGAGATAGCACTGGCTGGAGTGATGGAGCAGAGGGACAGCAAGGAAGGTTTAGGAAAGAAGAGGCACTCCTTTACTTTCGTTAACTTAATCTTGAAATTATTCCCCTTGTAGCAGAAAACAGCTGCACAGGAAAAGCTGAGTCACTGATACAAACATAGTTATTTACAAGTGACTCCAGTGATGGAAAAGCCATTTGTGCAGGAGTAGAATCCCAAAACAGCTCCCCTTGGGACTGAGAGGGGAACTGGGAGAAGGAAGCTGAATGTAGAGGTGTTCCCCAGGAAGTTCTGCAGTGGAAATCTCAGCTCTCAGTCCTGTGCTGCTCACAGAGCTTCCAGGGATATCTGTGTGGGCACACAGAACATCCTGAGCTTTTAACTCTGCTAATGCTCCTGGTTTCTGCTCCCTCTCTGGTTCTGGGGCTGCAGGCTTCCCTCTGGCAGATGCAGCCATGGGATTGGCTCAAGGACAGCTCCCTGCCCTTAATTCCCCTGGCTCTCTGTGCTAATTCTGCTCTGTTAATCACCTTAGAGTCAATTTAAGGTGCTTCATGCCAAAGGACACTTAAGTGGGTCACAGCTCAGTGACACCTTTGCTCTTTTTGCATCAGCACCTGGACAGAGGTGACTTGTCCTTTGCCTTTGGTGACCTTCACCTTTGTCAGGCCACCTGAGCCGTCTGGCAAAACCAGGAGGAAGGAGGGAAGCACCAATCCAACTTTCCATCAAACTGAGGGCAGATAAATAACGTCTCAGGAGAGCTGGAGCAGTGTCTGATGGTCCCACGGGGCTTTTGGACAAGGAAAGTTTTGCAACCACCCCAAAATCTTGGCAGCTCTGGCAGACATTAGTCCTCAATAGAAGAGGGAAATTGGATTCCAAATCTGATTAATTTCATGCTGGAATGATGTATATGTGGAGAAGACCTCATGGACTGTGTTTGAGTAGTGCCTGAACCAATTGAGTTGGGAAAACTCAAAAAACCATTTTTCTGTTGTCAGCAGTTGGGCATTGCTACTTTCTCCCCACTGTGCTGGTTTTTAAAGCCTGGCTTTACACATTCAAAATACCCAAATGAGTTAAACCCTCTCTTACTGCAGCCTCTGGGACTCATCCCTGTGCCAACACCACCACATCCAGGAAAGCTTCTCTGAAACCATTTACTAAATATTTCAATAGAGACCTTTAATAGAGAGACATTGCAGAAAGGAAATTGCTTCTTAATCTCGGTCTGCTGTTTTGTGTTTGATTCATTTGTGCGTCACAGGACAGAGCAGGCTCAATGTCTTTTTGCTTTTAATTCTTTATTTTATGCAGACAAAGCCATTCCCGGGGAATGGTTTGGGCTTGAAGGGATCTCTGAAGATCATCCAGCTCCTGACTTGCCCAGAAGCTCCTGCTGCACCATTCAAGCCCAGACAACCTGTTACTGTGGAGCTGTTGATTTTCTGCAGGGATGTGGAGGAGTCATGGTGCTGGAATGCTGCTGGAACACTGTGCCTTCACCGTTCCTTGCCCTCTAGTGCTGTGGATTCCGTTTCACTCGCATACCTTCACCAAATCAGGTGTTCAGTTTTAGACTCGGTGAGCATGATGGGGAGACAAGAATGAGCAAGACATGGAATTGGAATTGGCAGCAGTGCTTTGATTTCTGGTCACACTTTATTTCCCCCTCCCCGGGGTGATGGTGAAGCACGGGCTGTGCTGCTTTGCTCCCTTTGGGGTTGTAAGCATGCCCTAAAGGTTTGTGGACTTGCAAAGGTGATAATTTCAGCCCTGAGTGATTTACCTGGAGATGCTGGACCAGGAACTGGCCCCAGCTGAGAAACCAGCAACATCTTCAGCTCAGAACCCAAACCTCCAGGTTTTATTAGGCATCTATCAGCAATAAGGGA